TCTCCTGCAGTTCAAACCGAGCATCAGTATGGGGAAGAAAGGTGATTTGAGTGACTTTGAACGTGGCATGGTTGTTGGTGCCAGAAGGGCTGGTCTGAGTATTTCAGAAACTGCTGATCTACTGGGATTTTCACGCACAACCATCTCTAGGGTTTACAGAGAATGGTCCGAAAAAGAAAAAATATCCAGTGAGCGGCGGAAATGCCTTGTTGATGCCAGAGGTCAGAGGAGAATGGCCAGACTGGTTCGAGCTGATAGAAAGGCAACAGTGACTCAAATAACCACCCGTTACAACCAAGGTAGGCAGAAGAGCATCTCTGAACGCACAGTACGTCGAACTTTGAGGCAGATGGGCTACAGCAGCAGAAGACCACACCGGGTGCCACTCCTTTCAGCTAAGAACAGGAAACTGAGGCTACAATTTGCACAAGCTCATCGAATTTGGACTCGATTTCTGCTGCGACATTCGGATGGTAGGGTCAGAATTTGGCGTCAACAACATGAAAGCATGGATCCATCCTGCCTTGTATCAACGGTTCAGGCTGGTGGTGGTGGTGTCATGGTGTGGGGAATATTTTCTTGGCACTCTTTGGGCCCCTTGGTACCAATTGAGCATCGTTGCAACGCCACAGCCTACCTGAGTATTGTTGCTGACCATGTCCATCCCTTTATGACCACAATGTACCCAACTTCTGATGGCTACTTTCAGCAGGATAATGCGCCATGTCATAAAGCTGGAATCATCTCAGACTGGTTTCTTGAACATGACAATGAGTTCACTGTACTCAAATGGCCTCCACAGTCACCAGATCTCAATCCGATAGAGCATCTTTGGGATGTGGTGGAACGGGAGATTCGCATCATGGATGTGCAGCCGACAAATCTGCGGCAACTGTGTGATGCCATCATGTCAATATGGACCAAGCTCTCTGAGGAATGCTTCCAGCACCTTGTTGAATCTATGCCACGAAGAATTGAGGCAGTTCTGAAGGTAAAAGGGGGTCCAACCCGTTACTAGCATGGTGTACCTAATAAAGTGGCCGGTGAGTGTACGTCCTCTTTCACCCAGACATGTCTTCTTTTTTGGGGGCTGTCCGGCTTTGTCCGGGGAAGTTTATAAAATCCTTCAAATGTCTGCGTTTTTTGTCCGCAAGTTTCTATTTTGTGTCACGTGGACTTACTGAGTTAGAAGTGCTTAAAAGACACTTGATCCGACCCAAAACTCAAAATTAAACGTGCGACTCCGTGACTCCACCCCTGCGTAGTCGTGTCTCCTTTTTGGGAAGTCAGAATATGGTCACCCTATGTAATGATACTTTGCACTTCTTCTGTAAGACTCCGCCTCTCTGGATTTCCCTTAAACACCTGATTATGTTAGTACCTTTTGAAAAATAACCTAATGGGAAGATGTTCAGATTTTTGGTATGTTTATATCATGCCACGTGTTTATTTCTTTGTACCCAAATTGAAACCAGCAAAAACTTTTTATAAGCCAATAGAACTTTTCATCGTTTGATTTGTTAAATTCAATTTGAAAACCATCAAATTCAAAGAATTACAACATCTTTTAAACTGGAGTCATGGTTATTTGTCTTCTGTCCTTTCAAAAGTTTGCACTTTTTCTCATTTGGTTCGTTTCTTGGCTCGGTACAGAGGGTAAGAAGTATAAAAAAAAGTTATGTTGATGTCCAAATGTATAACATGAAAAATGGAGGGTCAGAAACAGAGAGAAGAGAAAGAAAAGGGAGGGAGGGAGAGTATGTTAGATTTACAGTAGTCTCAAGGGCCCATGTGTGCTGTACATTCAGGGGATGTTTAAGGATCCTCATCTGGGAAACACAGAGAGGGAGAGGGAGAGAGTAGCGTGACCTACTGCTGCAGCCACAAGATCCTGTAACGCTGTCGTCTCCAGCAGGGCCTGCGGAGCACAGCGGACCGCAGCACAGTCCTTGCTCTCCAGAACCCTGATCCTGAACTCTGCTGAGTTGGGATGCATTAAGAGCCAAAGACGCTGCCATGCCACATAAACCAGTCTATCTCTCCTTCCCTCCTCTTTTTCTCTCTCCTCCTCTTTCCTGTCTCATTCAGGGAGCATCAGATCACGGCTAAACTGACCACGATGACCAATGTGTTTTCCATGACTAATATCTACCCCACATGGTCGCGAATCTCTCCAGAGGAGGGGGGGAGTACAGGAAAGAGGCTGAGGTAGTTGGAAGAAAGGGGAGGTGTTGTGGTGAATTAGCAAACATCCACCCCCATCCAGCAGTCAGGACAAGGCTACCACCCCCCCATGGGGTTATCCTTCCTTTAGTCTGGAAAAGTGGAAAAAAGGTCTGACTCACAGGGTGATAAATTCCTTTCTTATGTTGGAGGATTCCCCAAGGAAACCATTACTAGCACGGGTTAGCACAAGTTGCCAGAATTGGAGACTCACAACAAATCAAATCTGGCTTTAATGCTGCAAATAATCTGCAACTCTTACCTGATACTATTTTTACCTCCAAAGTTTTTCAGCCTGTTTCTGCTTGGTAGTTCTGTTGCACAAAAAAAGTAGTTTAATTTGGCTCTAAAAATGTGGAATCATGGATTTTTTTGTACCTTCTGTACGAGATTTCAAGATAGGCTCACATTTTCCATGTTTTTGGATGCTATTTCTGTTGATTTATTGCTCTTCAGTCGGTGTTATAGGCTTTAAAACACTTGTGTCAGAGCTTGGCTTCTGCAGAGGCTTTGCACAGTTGTGTCATGATCGACTCGGGCAAGATTGTTCATGTTACTTGGCTCGTCTTGAAGGAGTGCAAGTTGTCGATGGCGAGTGACTGGCATTGATAGACACACTTTAGGTTATTTATGCTCTGTGAATGAGTTTCCCAAAGCTATTGACCTTTTTTTATGATTCAACAAACAATATCTTGAACATGACAGCAGCGTGTCCATCCAAAAAAGTGACTGTCCAATGGCAGCGAGTTATACACACAGCTGTGGCTTTATAAATCATTCCTGAAAATATCAGCAAAGGCAGGGGAACAAAATAATCCACAGCTGAAGTCAGCCTTGCCTTCATCTATCCTCAAAACATCACGGTAATGAAGACCAACAAGCTGTTTCCAATCAAGCAACACAATCATCGCTTTGCCTCCGCCTCTCTGCTATTTCCTGCTATTTTCACTCCTCCGTTCGACTTCGAGTGGTAAAATACCGCATTTTTACTTGATTGAGGGAGAAAATGTGCAGACTGTCTGGTGATGATGGTTGAGTAATTCTCGGATTCACTACCAAGAGAGGGGGGTCTGCTCATACTCATGAGCTGACGCAACCAGGTTTATCGTTAAAAAAACTCAAGTCGCGCGAGAACCAAACAGGAGCCTTCAATCATGGAGGAGGTTTCTGGAAAAGAAGGGTACACTAAATCCTTTTTGTCAGGGGTGCTCAAAAAGATATAACTCTTGGATATCCATGTCTGGGATTCAAACAACTACATCTGACTCTCTTATTTTGACAACCAGTATTTGATAACTGGAACCATGATATGAGATGAATGCATGTAAATTTATCACCCAGACCAAATGGAGATCTGATTTAGATATTGATTTACTGGAAAATGAGGCTCTGAATTTGCCCCTTGCTGGTTAATTCGGGATCAATGTTGGGATTGCTCAAAATACACCTCTACTCTACCTATCCATTAGCTATACTCCTTATCCTGTTTGGGGTCATAAGCTGCATTAACATGGGCACAAATAATCAGAATAAATGCCCAATCGGAATATAAATGCATCATGTGAACATGTCGATCGAAATATTCTGATCCAATTCGGCTCAACCGGAAAGAAATAGTATTCTGAATAAAGCTTGGTGCATGTATACACACGTCACGATTGGATAATTTGATTTTACACCCATGTAAACAGTGGATTCAGATTATCCGATACCTCAAATTTTTAATCAGATCAAGAAATTTTGCACATGTAAACATGGTTATAGAGGCCAGAGCCAGCCCTAGAAGCCATTAAAAGAGGTAAAATACACCCCAGACAAGCCATTAGCTTATCATAGGGCAATTCAGAGAGACCAGTTAGTCTACCTGGTTTCAAAGACCACTAACAGGGTGGGGATCCTTAGGTCTCTCTAAATGAACAATAAGTGCATTAAAGAGCATTAAAGAAGAGGATAAAGCTCGACCTGGGTGGCATCAATCTAAAATAAAACTGGCTGGTTTTCTGACTCAGACTCATCCCAAAATAGTTCTTCTTTTACAACAACGCTAATAAAAAAAAAGTTCCCTTTAATTGTCCAATTTCTCTTTAGTCAGCCTCTGTGCTTCAACAGCACGAGTTTGTTGTTTTCTCGAAGTTGCCATTGTCTTAGAAAACCTCCTACAGATTGAGTCAGCCTCAAAAGTCAGTAACCACAAAGTACCAAAACTTTGTAGACACTCCAGACCATTGGTTTTTAATCCTGGCTCTCAAAACATGTCCAGAGCTCTCACTGCTTTTCATTACAAGCAACACATCAGGGATTGATTTAAAGCTGGAATACCTATCAGGACAGAAAACAGCAATATTCTTGGTTTTCTGGCAAAGTTTGAGGGCCAAAACTGAAACGAAATGATCTGTTCTCTGGGTTGGTTGACCCCATGAGAAAATTCTTGCCAATGAGGAACTTGATTCCTCGAACACTGTGGTAATGATTATGAAAGAGATGAACAGCTGTGTTTCTATTGAAAATCTGTCTTTGCATTTTGATTATTTGTAAGACTTGTGTGTCATCTGCATAGATGTAAAGCAGGTCATTAATATTTATATGGTTTTGTAAGAAATGGCACAAAATTAAAAGGTGTGCTTTTGTAGTAGAGGTAATTAGACAGTTAATATAAATGTACTGACACTCAAACATCTCTGGTCTGTAGTAGTATTGATAACTGAAACATTTAAACAAAAGTTTTCCACATGAAACAGGTGACATAGTTTTCTTTGTAAAGATAGTTCACAGTTGGTAGATTTGAATGTCATCAGCGTAACAGTTGAATAGCTGGTTTCAACTCTTAATTTTGTCCCATAATTTTAGTATAAGTATGTTTTCTTTATTGGTTTGAGCAAGTACGGGTGTCATCAGCCTAACAGTTGAATAGCTGTAGTAGTGGGGAGGAGGCGGGACCATGGGCGGGATGGTGCGGAGCAGGGGACACAGGGGATTGGATGGACTTATGGACCACTCCAGCTCGGATTGGTCGATTATTTACCTTTTTGCAGCGGATATTACTGAATGTTTTTTTTTCTCGTTCTTTTTGATCTTTATATTGCGTAGATCGGACCATAGGACCATAACGGCCTTATAAACAATGTTATCAATAAGTACCAAGCTTCCAAATGGTAGACCATAGCTTCAAAGTTGTCCCATAACCTTAGTATAAGTATGTTTTCTGAATTTGTTTGTGCAGATATGAGTGTCATCAGTGTAACAGTTGAACACTTGGTTGGTTGTCTCATAATCTTATATAACTATGCTTTCTTATTTGGTTTGTGCAGATATGGGTGTCATCAGCATAACAGTTGAAATTGACATTAGCCCAGCACATTTCTATTCGGGAAAATGCAAATTTTGGGCTACACGTATACACGCTTGAAAGAATGTGCAACAGTTGTCATTCAGCTCTGCTTTGGATTCTGTCCTTTCCGCCCTTTGAACCTAGTTAGCGTCATTACATGTGCAACAGTAATGCATTTTAGGAGTTTGGACTGATTTTCACAATGGACCCCATAACTATTTATTCACCGTGAAGCTAGAAGATTAAAACCCTCCTCTGCTGATTGGCTTCAGTATGGATCATAAACCCCACCTTCTCCATGTTAAAAATCCTTGTACAATTTCCTCATGAGCTCAAAGAGTTCAATTTGTACTGAAGTAAGGACTTGATTGGAACCATTTAAATAGACCATTGATAGAGAGATAATTCATTGTACTGTCTCATGAGGACTTCAGAAACAAAGAGAAAATGGGACACCGAAGGCCTGATTGCGAAAGCTATCAGGACCGATCAGTGATTAAATCTGTTCTTGGTTGGTTTGTATGCCAGAGGAAGGGGTATGTTTTTATTCTAACGTGATTTTATTACATTTGGTGGACAGCTTTTGAATTCATTTCACCGATCAGTCATCGAACCACTATAACTTCTCCTTCACGTCAAATTTCCATCATTTTTGATCAGTATCTGATAGTTTTCTGCATTCATCAAACAGACAGTATGGAAAAGCTTCAAAGGTTTTGTCACATGAATAAATGCTCTTGCCCTTATGAGGTCAACTTTTCCACTGAGTTTGAAAAAATCGCAGTTATGAAAGCTGAATATGGTGTATGATAGATTATATTTCTAATACTCTCTTCGGCAGCGTGTACTGTTTCTCTTAAATACATAATCACCTCTGTTTATCGCCCTCTTTTTCATACATATGGCAGCAATTATCAATCAGCTAATGAGTTGGATGCAAGAAGATCCTGTAGGCAGCCAAAGTTTGGTAAAATGACCCATCTCCTCTGTTCCCCTGACTTTTGTTTTGCTTTCTAGTCCTGAACAAATCTGTTCAACTTCTAGTTTTTTTTTTTAACCTTTCAAGGATGACTTCGCTCAGGTTTCTCTGCTGGATTTTGTCGACGACTACTGTTTAAGGTTTGTGTCGTGCCACAATCACAGGTCGCTTGTGCGAGTTTAAACAGTTTGACGGATGTCACTCACCGTGTACGTGTAATTACAGCCGATGGTGAAGTGCGTTTGGTTGGGTTTATGTGTGAGAGGCATGTAGGAGAAACATGTAGAAAAGAAAGAGGGAACTCGACGCTTTCCCATTACCTGCCTGTTTCAGCCACCCCCCCTACTTTACCTCATTTCTCTTCACAGCATGTACCCCTGACCTTTTGCCATCCAGGACCTCAGGCAAAAACAAATGACCTCACCCCTTTCCCCCCTCTAGCTTGAGCGTGAAGAGAGGTTTCGGTTACCTCAGATATCAGCTAAGCGATCTGAACCACACCATCCCTGACCTTTCACCCCATAAAACACCCCGTCTTTAACCCCCTTTTGGACAATCACGCCCCCCAGCTTTCCCTAAACACCCCCGTGAAGCGTTGTTTTGATGGAAGTGATTTTTGTTCCTCGTGAACCCTCTCAGGGACCATCAGCTCCTCCATGTTTAAAAAATCAATTTTCTGAAATGTTGTGTCATGACTTCATCTGGTCGCCACATCATAGATTCAAGACCGGCACATCCTGTCCTAAAAACCTGATCCAAACCGTGTCATGACAGTGTAGAATCCACCGCAGAACAAGAGACGGCTGATTTTTTCCCTTCCCACAAAATTTAGGGTCTAGGTTTTTTACTGGTTGCTTCCACGCGGCAGCTGCTGGATCCCCTCGCGTCGGGATTAGTCAGTGTCTGTGCTCGAGCCCATATTGGTGATTACTGTGGGTGATGAGGGAAATGTTTCCCTAAGTACCCACTGAGTCACTCCTGTAGTACTTCACTTTGGACGTGCCACACAGTACCTCTTGATTCGTGTCCTGTGATGGCTTTCAATCTGATGCTTCGCCACAGATTCATTGGTATCCCGCTTCTAATAGAGTAAACCAATTGGCAGCACAGACTCCACAAATGCTCAAAAACTGACAGTCAACACAGTCCAGATCTTGTCTTGGAGACTGCTCAGCTGTTGGGACTTGAGAGCATGTGTTTTTATTTGCACACGTGAACCAAAGATGGAGACGTGTTTTAGAAAAGCCTGCATTTATTGTAATCTAACGCGGCTTCATCATCTTCTTCCCCCCGTCCTCAGTCTTTCCACTCCGACCACATCTATCTCTTCCACCCACTCCTCTTTATCCTGCGTCTTGTGTTTTAGCTGGCAGACATAAATCAAGTGTCTGGAATGGAAACACTCACGTTTCTGCTGCGCCACATGTGTTTATATTTAAGGCCTTTTCCTCTTTTTTTTTTTTTTTCTTCAGCTCATTCTCAGAAAGAGCACCTGAAAAACAAGAAAGACGGGGAAACCGCTGGAAAGTGTGATTCAACTGAAAATGTCTGAGCCCTCAACCCCAACCCCGCCACCCCCACCGCATCTGAGGATCTGATGCCAGCAATTCGACCAGCGTATTAACCAGGAAAGAGAGCGAGAGGGGAGAAGCTTCTTGACCCGCGAGGCTGACAGAGGTGGAAAGAATTTGCTGTCCAGCCGGTGAACACGTTAACACAGAAAAGGGGGGAAAAAACTTCCTACATGCAGCTTTCCCACCATCCCGAACCCCCTCTCTCCCTCACCAGCCGTTTACACATACAGCAAAGGAGGAAGGGGGATTGGAGGAGGAGTAGAGGGGAAGAAAAAAGCTCACTGAAGAGGGATGGAAAAGTTATTGAGGCAGAAGGGAAAGAAAGTTGAAGATGCATTTTAACCTTAATTTTTTAAACATTTTTGAAGAGACACAGCTTTCGAAGGCTTTAGTTTAAGTGAAGAAATGTGGCGGCCAGGTGGCCTGAGTCATCTCATTGCTGCCCCGAGACACGAAAAAACTGAACAGGAAGAGGCTGACCACATACCTACTCTCTTTTATGCCAAAAGTTAGCTAAGAAGATTGACTCTGCTTTAATATATTTTTGTTGGGAGGCCGTCAGCGTAAACTAGCAGGATACAGTTTAGTTGATACAGCATCAGAGACTAAACTGTTTCATTTAAACCTGAACGAGACGCTGACTAACATCTGTTTAATTTTTCTGAGGTACAGGAGACTTGTGTGAGTGAACAAGAGAGTTAAATGTTAGACAATTTAATAATTTAGGGACAAACACACTGTAACACCGAGTAAGACACCCCCTCAAGAGATGAATGTTGCAGACTGTTTGCTTCTCTAGTTATACCAACTTTAGTAACGACCACACGATAGCAATACACAGCGGTCTGAGGAGCCATAAACAAACCTCAACCACAACGCCTCAACGCCACTCTATAGCCACAAATAATGCTCAGAACAGCACCTAACTTCATCAACAGTACAGTAGTAGTAGTAGCTAAAAAGATGTTTGGTGGCTAGTGCTATGGCTAGGACCCTATATGTTCTGTTGATGAAGTTAGGTGCTGTTCTGAGCATTATTTGTGGCTATAGAGTGGCTTTATCGCTGAGGTTTGTTTATGACTCCTTAGACCGCTGTGTATTGCCATGGTGCCGTCGTTACTAAAGTTGGTGTAACTAGAGAAGCAAGTGGTCGGCAACATTCATCTAACTCAGTGTTACGGTGTGTTTGACCCTAAATTAATTTTAAATATCCCTTTAGGACAATAACGGACATCATTTTGCCTGTATCGGTATATTCGGTGTAAAAAAATAATAATAATAAAAGTTTGTTTTGGATGCATGTAGGTAGGCTATGGTCTCATGTCCCTTAAAGACACTGTCTTACGTCAGAGACGTGACTCCACCCCATCCAGTTTGTAACAATGAGGTAAAGACAGGTGAGAAGATGGAGGACGGTTCAAAAGTTGTAGCACCTGGAGCGGTGGCTGAAGTGGACGAAGTTAATGTGGAAGGGGGTGAGCAGCTTGTGGAGTAGTTATCGTCCATTTATCGTTATCGAGGTGAACTGCTCAATGTATCGTGATATTGATTTGAGGCCATATCGCCCAGCCCTAAGACAAAGTATACAGTATGTCTTCATAACAATCTACTAATTAATGTTAAATTGATCACTGTTATTGAACAGGGTTATAATATATGTGAAAATTCGAAATTTAACCTCATTTTCATTCAGATTTAAAATCAAATGGCCTGGTTGTGTTTACTAAAGAGCATTTTCAGCTGTGTATTTGTTGGAGCAGATATGATTGAGTGGAAGAAAACCACAACCCCATGTGTTTGTTAGCATTAGGAAACATTTGGTGCTATCATCTGGCTCAGAGATGTGTTTTTAATAGCTGCTGGACAGTAATGAAGTTTTATGTCAAAGAGAAATAATCATGACCGGGCTTTGTATACACAGGCAAAACTTGTTAGAAGGATCATTAAATTTGCACATTTACAGACTGAAACAACAAGCTAAAAGGCGTTACAACTCCTTTAAAATGATTTACATATTTAGTGTAAATGCTATTATTCAAGGTAAATGAAGTAAACATGCTAACAATAACAGAGATCTAGAAATGCTTTAATGACAAAAGTCCAAATTTATTTATTTGTCCACATTTGTACAAAAACAGCATGCAGAGAAAATGTGAATTCTTCAAAAATGAGTTTTATTCAGGGGTCATTTATTGCTAAAAGAAAAATGAAGTAGGTTGGAGCAAGCTGTCTGCAGGGAGAATTTTAGGGGCCTCTGCAAGGTGGAAAAATATCAGCCTGCCAATATTTTAAAGGATCACTGAGGCTTTAAAATGTCAGCTCCAGGAACTAGGGACATTACAGCTGGAAAGAGTTTTTTTTTTCTTTTTAACAGAAATCTGCAATAATTTGAGAACTTTCTAGAAGACTGAGCTTTAAGATGGTTCGATAGGCTTGTTTTGGGGCGCTGTCTCTTTAAATTTTTAATGGAAAGAGAACAGAAAGCGGAGAAAAGTTAAACTGAAAACTCAGAAACAAACAATCAAAATGCTGAAATGTTGACAGCCATGATGTTTCCTGTTGTTTCACTAAACAACAGGCCCACCCAGCCAGCCACCCAGCCAGCCAGCCTTGGGTGTGTGTGTGTGTTTTGTGTGTGTGGGTTTGTGCTGTCACACACATGTGTAGGTGTCAGGCCTCCTCTGGGGGTCTCTCGCTCTGTTAGAGGCAGTTTATGGGGAACAGACCCACACCTGTCTGCAGCCAATGGTCAGCCTCCATCTCCTGGAGAGGAAACCCTGCTCGGGTTCCTCATGGAGCCGCCTCCTACAGTGGGGGAGGCTCTTCGTCATGATTTTGGGATGACCTCCCAGGAGTGTTGGTATCCTGCGCATCAGCGAAGGGTCCCTCTGGAGAGATGGTGTAAATCTGAGGCAGAGGGGGAGAACCAGGGAGGGGTCAGAGGGGCTCAGCCTGCCCAGAATCAGGCTGCCTCTGCCTGGGATGACTCAACTGCAAAGCATCTCTTTCCAGGCCGAACATCCACGTCAGCACTCTCCCACAAGCCCATTGGGTCTGCTAATTACATTGTGGCCTGACATTTCTGATCTGCGTTTAATCCAGTTCATATTTCATATCTGCTCTCTCGTACTTTCTGAACATTTTTAACATAAAAAAAACCTACTCTGCTTATTTGACTCTCTCAGAGTGTCTGAGTTTAATCTGAGCTGGCAGGAGGTCACACATGACTGTTCCTCCAAGTGTTGATAGCTAAGGGGAGAGGGCCCTGATGTCTTTTGCAGACTTTAGGTTTTGTAAACAAGCTCTCTCACCCACATGGCCCTGCACCCCATGACTGGCTTCCTGTCCTCCTGTGGGACCCTTTATGATTCATATTCTAGTTATTTATAATCCATCTTGTTTGACCCCGTAAACATGGATTTTAAGTTTCCTTTAAACACTACTTTCACAAAAATACAAAAGAGGATTAGGGCCACATAAAGAGAAAGAGAATAATTACAGAGAGGAGAGTAAAGTCGAAATTGCGAGATTAAAGAGATCAAAATTACGTCAATAAAGTCGAAATTTTGAGTTAAAAGTTGAAATTTCCAGATTTAAAAAAATGTTGTAAATAATGTCGAAATTTTGAGATTAAAAAATTTAAGTTGACATGAAGAAATTTCGACTTTTTCAAATTTTGACTACAATCTCGAAATTTCAACTTTAATCTCAAAATGGAAATTTAAAAAAATCTCTTTCCTCTAATTTTTTATTTCTCTTCTTGTGGCCCTAATCCTCTTTCTTCTTTTTTTTTAACCTCTAGCGATCACCTTGGAGCAAACAGGATTTTTCATGCATTCAGCCCACTGACCCAGAGGAGTGATAAATTTTGGCGGATCCCTTGGATTACGCTCGGTCAGGTAAGAAAATGGAAAAACTGAAACCCCCCAAACCTGGCATTGTAAACCTGCACAGCTCATACCATCACCCTAAATTACTCATGGGTCTTTAAAACACAGTCAGCATCAACACTTATCCCAAACCAGATGACATCAATAATAGAGGATTTTGTTGAGGGTCAACCAGAGAGGAAAAGAAAGAATAAATGCTTTCGTTAAAATTTCATGCTTTGAGAGTAAGCTTTAAACAAAACAATTATGAGACCACAAGTGTGGAGAGCGAATCCCGTTGGATCCCATTGGATCCCGTTCTCTGTAAATAGATTCTGTGTTTTTGTATTTCATGTGAAGAGGCTAATGGTGTTGTATTGTTTGACTTTATGGCTCGCTGTAAAAAAAAAAAGCAGCTCAAGTCGAGGCTCATTAAGCGGTGCTAAAGACCACGTCCTGGAGCTTGGGAGAACTTCAGAGCGAGGGCAAAACATGCCTGCAAGAAGCCAGTTTGAATGTGGAGAAAAGGAGATGCCTATCACTGTACGTCAGAGGTTGCAAGTGGGGTAAATTAGGAACAAAAGTGCATTAGAGATGTTTTTAAAGTTTGCCGGGGTCTGACATGATCTAAGTGAAAGCATTTTTGCTTTTGCCATGCGCTGGAACAACTTCCAGTTTAGTCATGAACTTTATTGAAAAGTTGCATGTGACTACCATAGCTGGATCGTTGGTGGAAGAGACCCAAGTTGCTGAATCATGGAAGAAACTTTATTGCAGGGTAATCGTAACCCCTCAGGAGAGTTTTCCACGAAGTACGGGACTGGTTTGTTGAGAAAACCACAGTTTTTTTAAAGCTTTAAAACTTTAAGCAAAATGCTCTTCTGTCAGCACTGAGGAAAAGTCTGCATCGAGGTAATTTCAGTGGATTTCAATGGGATACCTGACACTTTTTGGGCTAAACCGCCTGAAGAAAACAGCACTTTTCTCAGGGAGGGTGGGTGCAGGGAGCAGAGAAAGGTGGGAACAATGAGGTGAGGCTAATACGAAAACCTGACCCCTGGAGACCTGCTGCGCTCTGCTTTGACCTGAGGCTCTGCAGGGGCAGGACGAGATAGAGTAGAGACAAGCTCAGGAATCCAAACATCCACCTCAGCTCAGACAATGTAGAAAAAAAAAAAAAGAGAGGGAGAGTCTTTGGACATGATGAGGAGTCCTGAAAGACTTTCACACGACTTTTTAAAGCTGTGGTCAGACCCACCTAAAGAGAAATGTGCCGGGCGGCTGCGGCGTTTCCATCAGTCATCTTTAATTTGATATCACCTGACACCTAAATTGGCTGTCACCTACAAGAAAGCTGCGGATGAAAACAAAACAAGCTTCACATCCATCCTCTCTGACCGCAGTCTCGCAACAGTGCCAGAGATGAGCGTGATTTAGAGTCTTGTTTGACTCCACAAGCTAAAAGTGATCGAGCCTCGACCTCACACAGCTGTGGTGTTCCCTCCTGTTATTTGCTAAATTTAAAGTTGGCCCTGAATCGATGGAGGGTGGTTTTATTGTTAATCAAAGACAGAGATAACTGTCTAAATCCAACATCTTCCTCTTCAAATCGAAAAAAAATATATATACTGTATATATCAGCCATAAAATTGACACAGAAAGCACAACTGCATGTCAGTCAACAGATAAACGAATGAGTTATCAATCATGGACACAATAATTGCAGCATATGATAATATTTTAAAGCTGGAGCAAGCATGAGCTGTAATGAAACACTAGAGACTTCATGAGTAACAATTTAAAACTCCAACTTGGAGTAAATCGAGCAGTAACCTCCAGAGATGTAAATGGAGCCAAAGCTGCAGTTCCATGAGTGTCCACTGGAAGCTGGTTACAGAAGTGAAGAATCCCCATTAGCTCCCATATTTACATGCCTATTTTACAGCAGGAATATACTCTAGCTTTGGACATTTGTACACACTCTGTATGGTTGTTTTTTTCCCATAATGCACCAGTTCTATTATATCAAAGCTAACAGTTTTGTCGGAGTTTGCTTAGTGATAGGCGTGGCTTATTTTATTGAAAAGCATGGGTTAATTGACATTTTCCTTGGAAAGCTAAAAGCACACCATACTCTTCTACTTAGGAGTGTCCCAATACAACGTTTTTACCTCCAATACGATACCAATATTGTAGCCTTCAGTATCGGCCATTACCGATATCGATTCGATATTGGCACAAATTTGCGCATGACAAGTTTTGCACTCAGCTGAAATGACTTTTTCGGACTTTAACAAAAAAATACTGCCACACAGCCAACATCACTCTTACTCCTTGCTATTTGTTTGTACCTTAGTACATACTGTTGCTGTGATCATGTGGGCTCTGCATGCTGAATCTAGGCGCTGCTAGCTAGAGATGCCGGAGTTGAGAGCAGAATGGACTGCTTGTATCAGAGTGCTGATATTGGAGATTTTAGATGCAGGCCGATATAATCTGATATTTGTTTTTTTTTGCTGAAATCGGACCAATATCTGATATCAGTATCATATCGGGACAGCCCTACTTCTACTTACAGGTTTCTAGATTGATTGTGGGATATGCCACTAACAGTGTTTCCCTTTATTATACAGTCAGTTGTGGAGACAGGTAATTTTACCAAGAAGTACAGTAAACCAAAGGAAAACCAACAGCAAAACATGAATATCAAAGAAAAACACTTTCATGGACTAATAAAATTTGAAATTATGTTAAATACTTGACCCTGATTGGCCAAATACCCATATGTGTACTGTTTATGATTTCACCTCTTCCTGTTGACAGTTTGGCAAAAAAGATCAGTTAGCAAGGGAGATAAAACTGAGCCGAGTGAGAGAGAGACATCAACCAAATTGAAGAAAACACAAAAAACAACCACAAACTGGGCTTTCACGGTGTTACAGGACAAGTTAGGTGAAAAGAAGATGATAGCAGGAAGTTTCAAGGAAGGAGACCTTATTTGCTTTTATAGCCAAAAGAACAAATGCTAATGTTTTGACTTTTTCGTACATGTAACCCTAAAAAAACTCCTGCCACTAAAGCTCTACCTTCTGTTACAAACATTATACACACAATAACATCCGATCCTACTCATCCCACATAACGCGTTTGTCAATTTTAGGCTACTGTAGAAAACTTGACGGCCTCCTAAGTGAGGACCTGCAGCTTCCATGCTATAATAGACCTTTTCTAATGATTATGATATTCTACTCAATATAACTAAATTGAACATATTTCGGCATAATACAATCCATTTCTTTTGAAAAATGTCGACCAAATTTCACACAATGTTCCTTTAAATCCCTCTGTTGTTTCATTTTGATTGTAGATGTTGATTTTCTGAATCTCAGTTTCTGACAATAGCTTTCAAAAAAGAGCAGGAGTTTATTTACTTCTTCTCCTTCTCCCCCCCGAAGGAGCTAAGCTTGCCAGCATCCATCAAACTAACGCTCAAAAAACTTTCAGCTGAGAGGAAAGCTGTTTTTGTAACATCAAGACCTTTTTTTCTTTCTTATTTTAATAATAAAAACATTGAATAAAGAAACAGACGTTATTTTTGACAGGAAAAAAAAGGGATGTCTTGAACCACAATCCCGCTTCATAAAACAATCAAAGCTTCCCAGGGGACACTCAAAAAGACGGTCTGCCATTCATGTAATTTCTCAAAGCATTAGCGATGTGGGAATTTCTCTCATTACCCGCACACTTCGCTTCATTCAGAGGAAGTCTTGAGAAAATAATGACCTCCTCTCGTGAAACGCCGCTGTTTACATTCCCCCCCAGAACGAGCCGAAGGCCTGTCTGTTTCTCGTCCCACAGACCGGAGTCATCCTCCCTTTTTTAGTAAACACCCACCCATGTAAAGTATACAAAAACGAGCCGCCATGAAGCTACGTCAGGCACAGATGTGACAGGTCGTACTCAAACTGATTGAAGACCTCTTGGTCTCCTCATGGGTGTTTGCTAATTGTCTAGACTTATCGCTGATACCAGTCCCCTCCTTGTTTTTCTTCAGAGCCACAATCACAAAACTCTTCACCCTGATTGGTTTTAAAGCGAGCCGACAGGAGGATATTGGATCATGGTCACAGTAAATGACAATTCTGTCGTCCAAGACCGAAATGGAAGCAAAACCGAGCTCCAGGATGAGCGACAAAAAGGAGGGAGAGCGAGAGGTGAGAGAAGCTAAGAGGAGGGATTTGGAAAAGGAAGGGGTCATAAAGTAGAGGGGAAGAAAGGAGTGGAGAGTTGAGAGGAGAGAGAGAAAGGAGGGAGTGGAGAGAGGAGAAAAAAGTGTCGGAAAGAGAAAACGTGGGAGCTGTGAGAACGTGAGGCAGACAGAGCAGTGAGTGATGCAAAAGGGTGGGATGGAATTTGAACAAAAGTAAGAGCCAAAGCAAATGTGCAGCTGTCAAGGAGTTTTTGTTCGCTTTAAAAACATCTTTCAGGCTTTGTGCGACTAGTTTCAACACAAGGAAAAGGGTTGAAAAATGTGAGAAAAAGACAGAGAACCGAGCAGAAAGGGAACACACAGGGAAAGGACTAAACAGATCTTGAGATAGTCGAAGAAATGAGAAACAGAAAAGCAAATCGGAGATCAGAAAGTTTGCTTGAATAGAGGGGAGGGGATGATTGGGGATAGTGTGCACCAAGTCAGTAGTGACAAGGAAAACAGAGCGGAGAAGAAAGCAGAGAAAAACAGGAAGAGAAAAGGAAAGGAGGAGAAGATTTAATAGTATTTTGTCAGTGCACCATGTATCCCTCAGCCTCCCTGTGGACCCAGAGCCTGCGCACATGTCAGCACAGCACTGCACTGCACTGCGCATATGTTTCTACTATTACATGATAGGCTGTGGAGAAAATATAGGAAAACCGTATCTGTGTGTGCATTGGGAGGGGGCAGAGAGGAGAGACGGGGGCGGAGTGAAGCCGACAAAGCTGGCCCCCTCCAACAATGAGCTCCACCTTCGTCTAGTGTATCTGTGCAAGTGAAGTTTTCCAAGAGCGCCGCCTCGTCCCACCTCCTCTTTTGCTCCCTCTCTCACTTCTCCTCGCTCGCCCTCTCAACTGAACAATGACAGTTTAGAGTCAGGTCGAGCCAGACACATCAACAGTATTATCTCCTTTTTCTGTTTTAAATCATGACAGCTGTCTCCCACCTGCCCAGAATAAAACATCCAGTTCAAGGACAGACCTCAAATCACAGAAAAAAAAAAAAAAAAAACATATTGGAGCATTTAATTGAGGTCAACTTTTGACTGAGATGTGTCCGCACTTATTATTTCACATGTCATCGAGCTGAAGTCACTCACACATCATTTCAAATGGACAGCACAGTGATGTCATGTCATAAAACACTGTCTGGTATGCGGCTGCCGTGTCGTCTGCATGTCTGTCACATGACGCTGATGTTTAACAGACTGTATGGTAGAAGAAAGAGTCGAGGTTCACCGAGGTGCTGCTGTGATCTCACCCCATGAGGTCACCTACGACTGATTTACAGGTTTTCCTTTAAAAACAAGGGAACAAAACGTTATACTCTGAAATTGCAAAGTTGGGGGGTTTGATTACCACCTCAGCCCAGATGAAGTTTCTCTCTCTGTAATCTATCATCTCACTGTTGTGTTTAGTTAAAGCATGACTATGCCAGTGTTTGCTAAATGATCACTGGCTGTCATAATAGAGGAAGTTTATGTGCTAAAATTTGAGTACTGGCAGTTAAGAGTCAGCCAATAATATATCTTCAGATTACTTAAATCTAAGCTACCCAGTTAGCCTATACCATCCCAGTATGCAACAAAAAAGTGGACTTAAAGGTGGGGTGGGCAGGATTCTGCTAAAGAAGCATCTTTTTTGTGGTCTGTATACAAAAAAAAAAAGATCTCTTAATATAAATCAATAGCTATTAGTAATTGATGACATTTGGTGATATAACAATATCCCTGTGTTTTGTTATGCTGTGTAGTCTACATTTTTAATTTTTTGAGCGGCCCGCTCTTTCTGACTGTAAACAAATCCATTCTCCACCTCCCCCAACCTGATTGGTTGTGGGGCAGATGCTGCTCCCCCAGTGTTATTCCCGAGCCCAAACAAAGTTAGCGTGCTACAATATCAGACAGTAGAAACCAACCAGAAAATACTGAAAATTGTCTGAATCCTTCTTTGGCCATGACTGCCAACAAGAAAACAAAGTAAATACCAGAGACTCTGGCCAAATAACAGGTGCTTAAAACTGAGGTAGACCAGACAAGAGCTAAAAAAGCCGGGTCAACATCAGTGAACCATATGGGGGACTTTTCGGGATCTTACGGACCCTGTAATCTTTCTGCTGGACAGGTAAACAGCTTTAACAAAGTAATCCAAGTGTCTGTCACAGAAGTGTTTCTTGTCAAACGGGACCTGCTACCGGGACCTGTTTGCTGGTAGTCTGTTGGCATCTACAGTAGCACCAATGCTTTTTACTTTAACAGCTACCAAGTTAGTTTATACCAGCCCAGTATGCAACAAAAAAGTGGACTGAATGCAGGATGGGTTTCATTTAGGGCTCCTTAATCAGCCGAGTAGGCCAAGGTTTTACGTGAGCTGAATCAAGCCAAAAATGTGACATTGACAGACTTGCAGGCCACTGATTGGCCAGGGAGAAATACCACTGGATAAGTCAGGAGGGCCACTCCTTCACAAGAATCAGACACGCCATTGTTGAAACCTGGCAACAGCGACTTTGCATTTGGGTTGTGGTTGTGCCACATACAAATGACGTCAAAGGGGTTTCAGGCTGCCTTGCTAAAACAACCCCACTCACGTTGAGGTGGTACTCATTTGTAATTGAAAATGACCAAAAACGAGTCAAGATGTGCTAAAAATATGTAACAGAAAAGCAGCATTACTATGTTCATAAACTTCTGTTATATCGTAATGATTTAATGGGTCATGCACTAGTATCGTATCATATGGTATCATACGGTATCATTTGGTATCTTATCATACAATACAATACCTTATTGTATGATATCATATCGCATTGTTTGGTATAGGGGTGTCCCAAAACAACTTTTTTACTTCCGATATGATACCGATATTGTATCCTTCAGTATCGGCAAATACTGATATTGATCTGATATTGGCACAAACTTGTGCATGACAAGTTTTGCACTCAGTTGCAATGTCTTTTTCGGACTTCAGCGAGAAAAATTCTGCCACACAGTGGACATCACTTCTACTGCTAGTTACTTTGTTAGTGCCTCAGTACACACTGTTGTTGTGATCATGTTGGCTCTGCATGCTGGATCTGGGCACTGCTAGCCAGCGAAGTGAAGTCTGAAATGGGCTGCTTGTACCGGAGTGCTGATATTGGAGATTTTAGATGCAGGCCGATTTAATCCGATATTTGTTTTTGTTTGATATCCGATATCAATATCATATCAGGACAGCCCTAGTTAGGTAACATATCATATCTTATTAATATCGAATTATATCGTATTGTATCTCATTGTATCATTTTGTATTGTGTAACATTCAATCGTAGCATTTTGTATCGTATCGTACCGTAGGGTATCATGCCGTATTGTATCACATTGTATTATATAATTTGTATGGTATGGTATGGTATTGTATCATATTATATTGTATCGTTTCACATTATATCGTAGCATTTTGTATTG